GGTTTTCCTGGCTAGACCTTTCTGCGACGGAGGTCAATTCTGGGAGTGTTCAAAACAAAATTGAGTTTCGCCAAAGTGGGGAAAAAGTTGAGTTGTTTTTGTTAATGTGGTTCGACCCAACTCGCAATATAACGTTAGGTGACAATTTGGGCCAATAGCCCATGTCCTGGATTCTGGTAGGCCTGATTGGATTAGTTAGGTTCGCTATGTTTTACATTTTAAAAGTTGGGTAGTTTTAAGTTTTTTATTTGAATTGGATGGATAAATTAATAAAGTAATAATAATGATGATGTGCCGAAAAAAAAAAACCTCCGATTCTAAATATAAAACCTATTTTATAATGCAATAAATATAAGACTTATTTTGTAATGCAAATTGCATTACAAAATAGGTTTTATATTTAGGACCAGAAAAAGTATCATGTTTTCCTTCTTTGATAATCAATAAGGATTAAAAATGTAATTTAACAATATAATAGATTTTTTTTTAAAGATGGATAATAGATAGTTAGAAACGCGTCACAATGAAAGAAAAATAGTTAGGCCTAATTTTTTATATTCATTATGTCAATTCTTTAAGGGATAATTAATACGCAAGTCCTTATAATTTTTACCGGTTTTTAATCAGGTCCCTATAATTTTTTTTATCAGATCCTTATAATTTCATGTGTTTTTAATTAGGTCCTTATAATTTTTTTTCTTTTTATCAAGTCCTTATTGTTTTCTCTTATTTTTAATTTGGTCCTTGTAGTTTTATTCTTTATTCTATAAATAATAATATTCTATAAATAATAAATTATTATAATAATCTTATGTCAATATTATTTTAAAATTTTAATTAAACATATATATTATTTATTTTTAATTCTAATTTTTATAATTACAAAATTCAAATTATAATAATAAAAATTTCTAAAATTGGAATATAATTATAAATAATTTACAGTTAATATAATTGATTATGCCGATTAATTATTAATTACTAAATGATTATATTAGTTATTTTGTCCAATTAAATAATTATTATTTAAAAATGAAGGTAATTTTAAAGAATAAGTTAATAAATAATTTTTTAAAACTACAAAGTACCTAATTAAAAAATAAGTGAAACTATAAGGATTTAATAAAAAGAAAAAAAAAACAGGAAGGGCCTAATTAAAAATATGTGAAAATAAAAGGATCTGATAAAAAGAAAAAAAATTTATAAGGACCTAATTAAAAATCAGATGAAACTATAAGGATCCAGAGATTAATTATCCCATTCTTTAATTACACGTCACTTCGTATCTTTTTTTTGTCCATATGAATTTATAATTAAATGATACTCCTCCAATCTTTAATATAAGACCCATTTAACTAATTTGATTATATTAAGGAAGTTAGGTAAGTTAGTTAATTATAAGAAATATGACTCCTAAAATACCATAATCATCTTTTTTAATACCCCTTTTTCTTCTTCTACTTGATTATGATTGAATGAATATCTATAGGGGTAATTTAGAGAAAATTGATAAATATGAGAAATGGGTCTTATATTTAGGACCAAAACTAACTCTACAATTAAGTCCTATATTAAGGATCAGAGGAGTAGTATTTTAAGAATAGAACACAAGCCTATGTGTAATCAGAAAACTTGATATAATGGATATAAGAAACTTGATATAAATATTATCCAGATAGAAAGGGTATCAACTTAAAGGTATTCTTTTAATAGTACCTAGCATCATAAAAGAATTTTTTGTGTGTGGAATTTTGCTTTTTCAAGAATTTTCTTAAAAACATTCAGCATTTTAAAGTAGTTTTTAGTATAACATTACTTTTAAAGTATTTTCTCAGTAACACTAAGCACCTTGAAAGTAATTTTTAGTGTAATTTTATTCTTATAGTATTTTCTGAATAACACTCAACTTACTTTAACAGTTTTCAACAAATATTCTTAAGGTTTGCTTCCTTCCTCTTTTCATTTGCCCCCTCCTTGATATATATTATGCAGATTGTTTCATGTCTATTTGTTGCAGATTCGCCGTGTTGTTTCCATGAGACATAAATTTGCAGATTTTTGTTCATTGTCTTATTTCTCTCTCTCTCTGAAATCACATTATTAAGTCAGGATTGAAATATGAGATGAGATCATATCATAAGATGGTCACAAGCAGAGGTCCACAGAATGTGTGAGGACAACCAGCAACTTGTCTGTCTGAAGAACAAGTTTGTAAAAGAATAAAAGCATGCATAAGTAGCTCTTGAAGAATAGTATGTTTTCATTGTTCTTTGAATGATAAATTGGAAGGTTACATTATTATACCTCTTACAATGTAATTATAGTAAAATTGCTCCATCTCTTATAGGTCAATGTTACAAAATATTAAGGGTGTGTTTGGTACGAGGGATTTGGGAAGGAGGAGAGGGAAGTGGAGGGATTTTAATCATTTCTTCTTGTTTGTCAACACACAAATTTTAGGAGGGGAGGAAAAAAAATTTTCCCCTCCCCTCCCAATCTCTTCTCCAAATTGGTAGGATTTGGAAAGAATGATAATATTTTGCCATGTTGTGACCATTATACTCATATTTTACCATATTGTAACCATTATATTCATATTTTATCATGTTATGACTATTATGCCTATATCTTAAATAAAATAAGAGTAAAATTGTCCATATTAAAATATTTTTCCCTCGGCTCCTCTTTTTTTTTATAAATCCAAATAAGATAATATTAAATCCTTTCACTCTCCTCCCCTCCCCTTCCCTCCATTAAAATCCCTCCCCTCTCCTTTCTCTCACTGAGCCAAACATACCCTAAAGGATCTCAAACATTAACCCACCTAATATCTTATTCATGATTCTTGAGTTTAAAGTAGACTAGAATTGTATTTTTTCCCTAACTTTCAATTACAACTTGTTCTTTGTAAGAGAGGAGTACAACTCTTAGAGTGTGTTTGGTGTGAGGAATTTGGAAGGGAGGGGAGAGAGTGGGAAGGATTTTAATTATTTTTTCTTATTTGGCAACACATAAATTTTAAGAGGGGAGGAAAAATTTAATTTTTCTTCCCCTCCCCTCCTCAACCTCCCCTTTAGAATTGGGAGGATTTGGAGGGAAATGACAATATTTTGCCATGTTGTGACTATTATGCCCATATTTTAAATAAAATAAGGGCAAAATCATCTATGTTAAAATATTTTTTCTCCTCTCCTTTTATGAACCAAACAAGGTAATATTAAAACTCATTCTCTCCCCTCTTTTTTTTTTTTTTTTATAAATCCAAACAAGGTAATATTAAAATCCTTCCACTCTCTTTTCCGTCCATTCTCTCCATTAAAATCCCTATCCTCTCTTCCCTCTCATTGAGCCAAACAAACCCTTAAGAAACAATGACTCCTTTTCACATTTGGCTTAATGATCCGTGATTCATAGATGCAACTTAAAAAATTACATTATAAACTAGATCTTATATTTAGAACCAGGGATAGTACTACCTGTGGTCCTAATTATAATGGCCAGTTGACTAATTTAAGGAGATTAAGAAAGTAAGTTGAGTTAGTTATTTGTCCGAAATAAGTGTTATCTTTATTAAAATATCCTTGCTAATCAAGTGTATTGACTAGAACTCCTATTATTAGAAGAGCTACTTTGAAAAAAATGTATAAATATAAGAGATAAAGTGGATTGAGGTTTTATATTTAGAATCAAAATAAAAATCAAACAGAGTCTTATATTAAAGACTGGAGGTAGTATAATAAAAACTCCTCTGGTACACCCCATATGAGGATTCTTGAAAAAGAAAGATAGTGCCTTCATTTTGGAGTAGTGCCAAATATATGAGGAAAATGTTTCTGTTTCGTACATTTCAAGCTGATCGGAAAAATACTTGGTAATTAATCTTTACCATTATAAACGCCGAAAAGCCAAAACTAAGTTGAAGCATTTTCAACTATTTTGTGTCTATATCAAGCTCTTATGTTATTATGATGAGCGATTTTTCATGGACTTAATGTGATTTCTTGAAGTGAACCCTTTGAATCAATGATTCCACCAATGGCTATTGTGTATTACTACTATTATTTCTTAATATAAAAGTTAAAAACTAGTTTAACGTTTTGATTTGATGGTAAATAGAAAATTCTAATTCATTTTTTTTCAATATAATATTTATTTCTTTTATTCCTAACTAATTCCCACTTAAAGTAATTTCAACACATATGGTTGATGGGTATTTAAAAAAAAAAAATCTATTTATTAAAATAACTAACTTAACTAATTTTTTTAATATCTTTAAATTAATTATCCAAATCTTATATGAAAAACGAGATATATAATATGTTATTGTTGTAATGTTTGGTTTGAGGGGAGCCAAAACCTCCTCTCTTCTCCTCTCCCTTCTTTTTTGGTTTCTCTTCAAGTTGCGGGCTTTTGATGGTAGTTAAATATTAATTACTACTTTGTGTAATATTTTATTAATGTTCATCAGAAAAAATTATAAAATTAAATCCCTCAATTGTTTCACAATACAAAATAATTTAAGATAAAAATAAAAATTTCTTGATTATCTTGTCTTCATAATTTATATGATATTTTATTTTTAAAACATATTATTATATTAATTCCAAATAAAAATCATTATTATCTCGATGTTTTATTTGCACATATTAATATGTTGGGATGAGAATGAATTTCAATAAATTATACAATTTAAATTAAAATGTAAATTAATTTATATAACATATAAATAAAAAAATATAAATTAATGGATGAGGGTAGAATGTTCTGACAAAAAAAAAAAGGGTTGGAAGCCACTATGCAGTTAATCTAAGCTGGATTTTATCCCTTTCGTGTATAATCAATCAATCAATCAATCACTTCTTCTTGGAAGGAGTTAATCACAGGACAGTTCATCTCCTGCGAGACGCGAAACGTCTTGGGTCTAGCCGAATATTTTTTAGGTCATATTCAAATTCCGTGATCGGAGATGGAACATCAAACCTGAGTGGGTAATGGCTACGATGGGATTAATTGAGAGCCCAGAAGTGGGCAAAGCAGAGAGGATGATGATGGAGGACAAGCTCACTAGTCTCCCCGATGAAATTCTTCAACACATTCTCTCCTTTCTCGATACGAAGATGGCAGTTCAAACTAGTGTCGTGTGCAAGAGATTGAGGTACCTCTGGGTTTCCCTTCCCGTTCTCAGCATCGATAGTGAGTCCTTCCGTTATTACTCTTCCTTCTCCGATTTCGTCCTCTCTGTTCTTTCTCGCAAGGACGCCTCTAGCAACATTTGCAAGTTCTGGTTCGATATATCTAACCCCATTTACTCTTCAATTCAAATGTGCATAGATAGCCATGATTTGTTTGAGCCTCTTGTGAAGAGGGTCATCGATCATGTTGTCGATCATGGGGTTCAACATTTGAGCTTCCATTTTCCTCGCATTGTGGATGAATTGCCCCGGCTTTTCTATTGCCAATCCTTGAAAACCCTTGAATTGCTTGAAATAATTATTCCGCCCAACACAAATTTGGATTTTCATACCTTGACTAGTTTGCATCTTGTGAAATGCTCCTTTATATTGGATGGGGAAGGTACCTTGGATCCTTTTCAATGTTGTTTCAATTTGAAAAATTTGGTGATAAGTGATTGTCGAATTCCGTCTAGAGTTAAAAGTTTTGAAATTTCTGCACCTCAGCTCACGAACTTGACTATATCAAGGATGGAACATGTTCGAAATCTTAATCCACACTGTAAGATTGTTCTCACTTCAACAAAAATAACATCTTTCAAATTTGTTGAGTCCCACATCCTCGAGTTCTCCATTCCTGCACTTCCCTTCATTGAGAGTGTGGATGTTGATGCTCTTCTAGCTGATTATCTATTTGGTAACGAGGGATTGGCAAAAAGAAAGTTCGTTTCTCATTTGATTGAAATGCTTCGGGCAATTGGTGGTGCAGAGATTGTGGGGTTATCTTTTGAAACTTTAACTGTGAGTGTAACATGCTCTGCTCACGTCCTTTTTTTTTTTTTTTTTCCTTTTTAATGGTCTGATTTTTTGTTTGTTTGTGGTATGGTGGAATTCTTGCTCTTTGATTGTGCAGATGCTTTCCAAGTTTCCTGATGTTCTGCGCTGCCCTTCTCTTTTTAGTAGAATGAAGGTTTTAAAAGTTAAAGTGCCACATGGACCCAGCTCCTTCACCATTCCTGACAAGATCATAACCTCGCTTTTCAGTGGTTCTCCAACTAAAGATTTCAGGGTGGAACACCTTAAGGTACTTGTTGAACCCTAAACGATGTCCCTCCCCTCCCTCCAAAAAACCCATCGTTATGAACAGATTTAAGCGTTTTTGTAGATCTTGTGACGGCATCCTGAAATTTGTTATAGTTCAACATTTATCATCATCATCATCATATGTTACATGAGAAGCAAAAATAGTTTATACGTGATGCTAACTTGGAATAACTTATCTAACTCAGCTGGAGTTATTTACCATCTCCACATGCATTGATATCTGTTTTGGTACGTTGTATATACATAATTCCATGTAGGAAAATTCCATGAAATAATGCACCAGTTCCCTACTTCGCTGGCTGTGACCATTTCATGAGGACATACCTGTTGGTAGATACTAAGCTGAGTTGTAGTACATTTTAAGTGCTGAAGAACATTTTGTAAACCTGATGTGGAAATGCAATGGCAAATTTGATCTCATTCACAATTTGTGCCTTTATGACAGAAGCAACAAGGAAGAGCACAAGAGAGGTTATATATCTGATTTTGGTGAATTTATAAGGTACAGAGCTGTCTATAGTCTTAATATCTCTTTTCATGGTATTGGTTTTGTAAGTGAAATCCTTGGCGATAAAACCAACTAGTTAAATCTAAGGATCCATTATTGATTAACCACTTTCTAAACTGCCAGTTTGGATGCGTTAACATGATAGGTCTATAAATGCTTATGATTCCAATTATGCCAATGAAATCAATCATATAGTGGCAAAGACCGTCCTAAAAATTGATAACTTTGTAGAATGAAGGTCAAAGATATTTATATAGTCTACTGTGCTTGTGTGGTTTTCCTTGAATGTCCCATCTAATATATATAGACTCATTTCTTTAGTGTAAACTACTCTAATATGAATATTTATACCAAAATCTAAAACTGGTTGGATTGATAAATTCAAGATACCTAGGCCAATTTGCAGGGCATGGAGAATGGCTATTTGGGTATTACGTCGTGTTTAATGAAGCTTACTTTGATTATGGGTTAATAGGCAAGGAGTTTGGCAAGGGCGCTCTTTATCTCGGTCTACTTGTCTTTAGTGGGGGATGTATTATGACTATGCGGCAATTGATGCTCGTTAGAGATCCTTATGGAGGAAATTAAGGTAGGTTATGAGGATAATGTAGCGTCTGATCTTAAGTTTATGGGAATGGGAAGTGGAAAGGGAAAGGTAATATGCTTTGCTTGGATGGATTTTCTGGGCACATAAGCTTGTTTGGTATGAAAAGAGAGGTCATAATAGGAAAGGAAATAAAAGCGAGAAAAAACACAAATGGCCCTCGACTCCACAAGAGGAGTGCACAGCAGAGGCATTTGATGACTCTTTCATTGTTTCCTCATTCTGTATCATGGGAAGAAATCAATCTATGTAGATTAATAAAATGGGCAGCATAATAATAATCTGCTTGATGATTAGAGGTTTTGTTTTGCTCAAAAATAATCAATAAAGCTGTAAAAAAAAAAAGGATGTTTTATGCCCAGATTTCAGCATGCCTTTTTTAATCCACACATGAATACAACCATTCCATTCACCATGGTGTCTTTGTCTTTGAACCCACTGACAAGGATTAGAAAAGAAAAGGGAAACAAGAAGGGAGTAAGAGAAGAGAACAATGACAATATATTTAGAAGACCATGTTCAATGATGACAACGCAGGTGATGATGTTGAACTACGAAGGGCAATATTGTCACTAATCTTGGTTCCCAGAAATAATGGGCTTTTCCTCAACTTTGTTAGAGGAATGCTCCTTCCCTTGAATGATGGAAGCTGGGTTTCTCAAGAAAGATTTGTCACACCTGCCAATCATGTCAAAATGAGCCTTCACTCATCCTTTCTGGTTTCCTAGCTCCCTTTCCCCCCTACCAAACATAGTCCTAGTGTTCCAACCTTATTGGAATATCGTGTCAAAGTAGACTAATTTTGTAGAAGGTTATTCTGGCTTTGAGGGTGTGAGATGGCTAGGGAAAGCTCCAACGAGTTGGTTTTGGGATTTCCTAAAGGTTTGAGAGGAAGGGTTTGTCTAAGATTCTGAAAAGCCTACTGAAGTCTACAAAAAGATTTTTGCTGAGGCAATGCTGGTGAAGACTAGGCTACCTACCATTTCTTGAGCTGTTAAGATGAAATCTTACATATTGAGCATGAAATTACAAGTATCTTGGGATGGTGATAAGGCCATTATAACGTATAATGACAGAAGTTATATTGTCAGATATGACAGTAGCTCTCCATCTAGGGAAACCCATTCAATTATTTAAACCCTGTTAAGAGATAAATAAAGGAGTTTTCAGTTGCAAGAGATGGGCCCTTAACGACCAGAAATAAGAGGAATTCCGTAAGTTTGAAAGTTTGGTTTTCCGATTGTTATCTCTTGACAGCACAAGGAATGGTAGAGAATGATGGGAATTTATGTTTTTCTTTCTCTCACATGAAGTGCAACGTGAGTATCAGAAATAGATATTCCCAATAGAGTCACTTTCATAGCTTCTCTGCAGTAGGTGGGGATCTACTTTTCACTTCAAGGATGACATTGTATTTCGGCACAGAAATTACAACTTGGGCGTCTCCTTCCATATCAAGTGGGGATTTATTTTCCATTTGGGTGGGAAATTTTTCTGAGGCAACCAGGGGAGAGGAAAATGTAAAAAGTTTGTACAAATTTTATGCAGAGTGTTTTGGTATTTTGTTCTTGTTTCATTTAATTAAATATATAAAAATAAAAAATATATATTTATATCATATCAAACACAATTTAGGATCAGTACATTCGTTTCTATTTGATTCCATTCCTTTCTGTTTCCTTTCTCTTAATGTGTGTCAATATATATATATATATATTTGTGTATGTAACCAAATGGGCCGTGATTTCATCTGAGTGGCAATACTCGGTATAATTTACACGAATGACATGCTGCAAATTTGTAACTTTACAAAAAATTGTTTGGGTCTCAGATTAGAATTCAGTTCAGCCACTGGATTCATAGCATCTTCTCCGTATATGGTTCAAAGGGTTTTGCAGGACAAAGGGGCGTTGATCTTTTTTTGGATAATCTTTTTTAGTGAAAAAAAGATCGGCTAGATTTAGTGATTTACAGTAGGAATGCGTTCTTTTGTTAAAGGGGAGACCTTTTGATGCCTAAGTATCATTATATGCCTTGATCCTTTTCCACGAACGACATTGACCTTAGTCTCAGATATTGAGGAAAATGAAGAAATGCTGAATGTGAGCACGTTTATTGCATAATTTTCAATAAAGAGAATTTGAAATATTTATAAACTATCTGCAACAGGCAATCTTAAGTGGTTAAGATCTTTATCCGCATATATGAGGAAAATGACTTGGTTGCTGTCTTATTTTTGCTCTGTATATATAATTAAAGCGAGCCATATGCATTTATATGGAGTTTGAAAGGAGTCGCACTATTTTTTCTTTTGGGAACGGGAGTCGCACTATTCAAGACTTGTGAATATTGCAGATATCTTGACTTGTATTTTGTATGACATCGTGTGATTGAAAGACCCATTCAAAGTGTATGTGGAGCCTCATATTATCGGGGCTGGGCATTTGATATGAATTATTCAATCTACATTTGGTTTAATCTCCTTAACTTGAGCTTCATCTTTTCTCGGTCCTGTGGCTAAGTCCCTTTATAATTTCTTAACTGCTTGATCATATACCATAATACTTGGGAAAGTTTATTAACCTTAGTTGTACCTGTCTTCTGTAGGAGGAGGTATGTTTTGGATTTGAAAATCTTTGAGTAAACTTCTGTCAAATAATTTGCAATTAGCATATAGATATTTAGCATGTATCTGTGAGGCTTTCTGTAAGTGTATCAAATTGATATGCCGCCGTGTACATTTTAAGCGAAAATGCTGAATATTAGCATGCTCAATTTAAAAATTATTGTTTGTTATGTTGGATCATGCTTGTTTAAGAATAATGATGTATTCTATGGAGTCAAGCAGAAATCATTCAAACTCTATCCTACTGAAATCTATAATTTCGGCCCGTGTAATATTTTTGTAATTGACCATGGGATGGCATAACTTCTCAGAGTTGACATTCTAGTAGCACGAATTCTCTGAAGGAAAGATCTGTGAAATCTTCTGAAAATTACCTAATCCAGAAAGGCGAGATTTTCATTTAAAACAAAAACAAAAATTAATCAAATTTCAGAAAACTTTATAAATCCTTAATCAGATGATTCATTCCCCATCTTTGCATACTGATTTGGGTGATTTTCTGGTCGTGTAGGTGGAAGATGTAGTTCCAAAAGTTGGCTTCATCAGTCCAACCATCTAAAGAGGTGGAATGATGACTGCTTGAGAAATCAATAATTTGGATGGTGATTCTCAAACAAAGTAGTTCCATTATGAGCAACACTGTGCTTTGGGCTAAAGATTGTTTTGGTGATGCCATGACTATGCAGGTAGGAGCTAAGGATTATAGGGTCATTATTGCACTTTGTAGTGTGTGCCTGCTGATACTGATAATAGTGCGAGGAAGAGCAGAAATCAACACTTGTTCAAAATTTTTTTTTCCCCTGTTTTCTGGTTTTCTTTTGTGTTTATTTGTGTGTGTGTGAGATAGAGAGGTAAAGTTATCAACTTTACTTGCAGAACATCAGAGATACAATCATCGGCTACATGTTGATAAGATTAAAAAATAGCAACTTATGCTTAACCCATCATGATTTATATAAACCAGATAGAGCAGCATAACAAAAATTCAAGAGGCAACACTTGCAAATCACTATAATAGTATTACTTCTGGTTTTTAATATTAGAGTCACTTAACTAATTTGAATAGATTGAGAAAATTAGTTAAGTTAGTTATTTGTAACAAAAATAAGTAGAATTCTTTAATGTATCTTTTTAATCATGAGTACCTTAGATAGAAACCACTTAATATGTGTAATTAATAAGGATGTTTTAGAAAATAAATTATAAATTTAAGAGACAAAGTGAATTAAGATTTTATATTTAGAATTATGTAAATATGAACCACCTTGTCTGGGGGAGTTTTGAGCATGTAAAAGCCTTAGTAGATTGTCAGATGCATGCTTGATGAATCATGATTCTAAACTCTTAATCATGAGAGTGTTTTTCTGTAAACAATATACTTTTGGTTTATATTATAAGGAGAATTACAATGAGATCTAATAAAAAAAAATGACTAAAAGGTTTTAATAACAAGTTTTACGATAGGAAATAGTGAATTTTTAAAAATTGTTTTGTAATTATTTTTTTCTTTAAGACTTTATTGTAATTTTTCTTATATTGTAATGACCTTGGGTTTCATCATGAGATTTTTTTGTGTAAAGCATTAATTTTTTCCCTTAAATGTCTTTTGCTTTGATGTTTTGTAACCAATTAAACAGCTTATTAATTAAATAGTGAACAATATCTTCTAAGTGATGAAGTTCATTGATAGAGCTGTCAATAAGGGCTAGCCCGGCTCTAAAGGGCTAGCCCTTGAAGGGCCAGGGCTTAAAAGGGCCGGCCCTTTAAAGCCCACATACCTTAAAATTATTTAATTATTAAAGCCCGGCCCTTGAACATGCGGGCTCAGGGCTTAAAAGGGCTGGCCCTTTTATGTTATTTTTTTAAAATTTAAATTCTTTTTAATTATTTTAAAATAAAAAATAAAACAACAAAACTTCTAAGATTTTTTATTCAAATTATAAATATAAGTAAAATAAATTAGTGGTGTATAGAAAAAAAATTAAATGCCAATAAACTATTGTCCAAAATAAAAAAAAAATCAAAATCTAACAAAACACGAAACACAGAAAGATAAAACCTAGCAGTTAAAGATTAACAATATCAACATAATTATTATCTTTATCTTCATCTTCCTCAGTATCATCAAGATCAACAATATTTGATTGTTCTTTACTACAAGTGAGCTCTTCTTCAGTGATAAAAATATTAAGGTTTTTGTCTTCATTTACCTTATATAAAATAAAACTATGCAGTAGTTATAAGTACAAACAAGAGCCTGAACATCTGTTCGAATAAGAAAAGTTTTACACTTTGTTAAGATATGTAAACTGATGGTAAATGAAGATCTACTAGCTATTATGGTGATTAAAATGTTAAGAATATCAGCTACCATTCTTGAAAGAATTGAAAATTGATTTTAATTGTTCTTCCACAAGTCCAAGACATCTAATTCTTTTCAATTATCTAGCTTGAGTATTGATTCTTCTAAGTATTTTTCTAATTTAAACTTATTCATAAAAGACTAATCTATAACTTTATAAATATATTGATAATAATATAAAAAAAATAGGCGGGCTTAAAAGGGCTAGCCCTTGACCCTAAAGGGTTGGCCATTTTATTTTTGAGCCCTATAGGGCTAGCCCTTTTAAGCCCAATTTTCTTTTAAACCACCTAAAATACAAGCCCGGCCCTCCAATTAAAAAGGCTTAAAAGGGCTGGCCCGATGGGCTTAGCCCGTTTTGACGGCTCTATTCATTGAGGATAACTTTAAAATTTTAAAAATATTAACTGATATTATTCAATTTCTTAATTCATTTAAAATTTTGACTTTTTATAATAAAAATAGAAGGGAATACATTTGGAGAGTGACAAACCAAAAAGAGTAATGTATATAGTCTCTTTGTTCCCTTTTTAATAAGAAACATTTGATTAAATCACGTAAATAAAAAAAATTAATTAAACTTGATTATGGATCATAAATATGTAAAACTAGAGAGGTTTTTTTTTCCTTTCAAAAATATCTTTATTTATGAGGAGGGAGAGTATAAGAGAGAAAATAAAAAAATAAAAAAAAAAGAATTAGGGAGAAGAGAGAATGTGTGATGGAGAAAGATGGTGGTTTGGAAAATAAAATAAAACTATAATGAGTATTAAAATAAGTAATTGACAAGGGTAAAATAACAAATTAGTCAAGAAAATTTGAAGCATCTTGCAAATGTTCTTTATAAATAGGGACAAATAGAAGTGCTTGTTTCTTATGAAAAGAAATTGAGGGAGTGATTATGATGCGAACTACCCTAAATACAATCATCTTCTTTTAAATTATTTTCTTTTTTAGGGGGTGTTTCCATGAAACCAAACAATAGTTTAGAGAATAATTTCTGGAGAATAGATTTTGTAAAAAAAGTGATTTTGATAAAATGAAAGTGTCTAGATAATTGTTATTAAAAACACTTTTTATATGTGCAAATTACTAAAAAGAGTATAAGTTACTATGATAATTACATAAAAGATAGACTTTATAGTATATTTTTATTTGAAACAATAAATTTTTAATAATATATTTTTTGCTAACACAATAAATAATATATAAAAAACGTAATTAATAAATAATTAGTATGTATATATGTATTTATAAAATATAAGATTAAATATGTTTTTTAAAAAATATTTTTTTTGTCAACAGAGAAATATTTTACCTCAGATTTTAAATATGAAATCTCATAATATTTTTTCACAACTAGTTTATTTTTTTAACAATATACTAACTCCGGTCTTTAATATAAGAGCTATTTTAATATTCAATTTGGTCTTAAATATAAAATTCTAATCTATTTTATTTATTGTATTTATCTATTTTTTCAAAGTAGTCCTTCTAGTAATTATACATGTTAAATATTTTATCAAATAATACTTCTAGCAAATACATATGATTAGAAAGGATATTTTAGGGAAGAAAATATCTATTTATTACAAATAGTTAACTTAGGTAATTTTCTTAATCTACTTAAATCAGTTACCTAACTCTTATATTAAGGATTAGAAGTAATATTACAATGTGAAAAAAAAAGACCACATTTTTAAAAAGCAATTTTTTTTATTTTTTTTTGCTTTTGGAGGTCAAAACCTTGATTTTGGACCAAACCCGGGTTTTCTGAAAAATCAACCTGTTTGAATAATCTCTTGCCAAAATCATGGTTTGGGGTGGAAAAGCACTTTTTTGGAAATTGCCAGACACTACTAACACATCAATGCCGAGGATCGAAACTAGTCTCCCTTTGAACTACCGCCTCCATCCCTTTTTATACGCAATAACCATTATTTTTCTTATTATTAAATATAAGCAATATTGGTAAGTTATCTTAAACTTTTGTAGTAAGTTTCCTATTTGTCCCTATTAAAAAATTATTTTAATACTTTTCTGTCCTTTAATATAAGACCTATTTAACTAATTTGATTAGATTAAGGAAGTTAGGTAAGTTAGTTAATTATAAGAAAAATAACACATTTTTCGTAAAACACCATAATCATCTTTATTAATACCCCTTCTCCCTCTTCTACTTGATTATGGTTGAGGGAGTATCCATAGGGGTAATTTAGAAAAAATTGATAAATATGAAAAATGAGTCTTATATTTAGGATCAAAACCAACTCAAGAATTGGGTCATATATTAAAGACCGTAAGAGTACTATTCTGGTTCTAAATATAAGACTTATTTTATAGTGTAATTTACATTATAAAATGAGCATTATATTTACGACCAAAGTAGTTGATATATTTATTTTTGGTTTCTTAGAACATCATTTCATAGATAATAAATGTTTTGAAGATTATTTTAATATAATTCCTTTTCATTACACATTCTCTCTTTTCCATAGTTTTCTTTATTATTAATTTTTTTGATTTTCTTTCTTATACTCTCTCCCATTTATGAGGGTATTTTGGAAAAAAAAAAAACTTGTAATTTTTCTATATTTATTGTCTTAACCAATTTTAACTAATTTCTTGATATATGTGATTAAGTTTAAAGTTGCTTATAAAAAGATAAGGAGAGAGTAGCAAATACCATATGTTTTAATGTTGTGATTCCAAATGGGGTTAATCCTACTTGCTGAGGAAGTTGGAGTTACCCCAAACAGCTCCCTTTAAGGCTATAACCCATGAAATTTGCATTTCCCGTAAATGTAAATTGTGACTGGAACATTTTATTGTCAATTTTGAAAATATGATTTGATTATGACTTTTGTTTTTGTTTTTTGTTCATTAAGATTTTTCAACAAAAAAGAGACGCGTCATAATTTAATATAAAAAAGGCACTTCTACGCATATGAAAATTGTAACAATGGAAATGTTAACCACTAAAGCTTCATTCAAACTAAACAACTATCTTCTTTTCTTGGTGACCTCTCATGTCTATTTTTTTTTTCTATGGTTAAGAATCTATTCTAAAGAAAGAAAAAGCACTACATGAAAGTAGCAATCACTGATCAAAATTCATAAGGATATAATTAGTATTTTTTATTTTTTAATTAAATAAAAAGCAAAACTCAGATAAAGAAAACATGAAAAATAGTAATTAGGAGACTAGGATTTTGTGGCCAAAAAAAGGAGACTGATTTATTCTTTTGACAATCATGATTATTGATCCATTTACAAAAGACAGACCACTCAAGGATCCACATTTGTGTATATATAATACAATATTGAACAGTCTCTATTTCTATACTTACAAATGAGGGATTAGAAGAACAAATCTATTTAACAGTGTGACTAATTAATGAGAAGAGAGCCCAACAGAAAAATTCTCTCTCCTACTCATTGACTGTACATTTCAATCCGTTGCTTATATAACTGTTCCATCCCTTCTCGTGATGGGAGACAGTTAGTGGAAAAGCAGACGGAAAGTGAGATCCTCATTAACAGTGGATTCCTAAGCCTCTTTCTTTTTCTATCTTCACATGTCTCTGTTGACACCAGAAGGGATCTAAGTCCCCGTTCTCACAGTTCGGACAGTTTCATCATGATCTGACAGTAATCCAATTCTGTGATGAACATAATGCACATTCATCTCCATGCCTTGGCATTGTTCTCCCATCCTTACAAAGTGTAAATGGCTTTATGACTGAGAGATCATTTCCCTCTGGACTTTCTGGTTCTTCCAAATCATAAGCATCATCAAAACTTGAGATCCCCAACACACTGACTGGTGAGGAAGCAGCATCTTTGGGTGAAGATGGTGGTGTTGTTACAGATGAATCCCTTGATACAAATGGGTGCCTAAGTAATTCCTCACATGTCCACCTTTTTCTTGAGTCTCTGTCCAAACACCTCCTCAAGAAATCCAGACCCTCCTTTGTGCAATGGGTTGGGAGCTTAGGTATCTCATCACCACAGGCAATCTTCAAAAGGACAGCCATTGGGTCTGAATCATGCTTAGAAGCACCCCAGGGGGGCCTACCAGTAGCCATTTCAATAACTGTGCATCCCAAAGACCATATATCTGCAGAAAAATCAAGCTCTTCATTCCTCAAAACTTCAGGAGCCATCCAGAGAGGGGTCCCGCTAACATATTCCAAAGACTTGGTATTCTTCTTCATCAAACTTTTATTTTTCAAGTCCTCCACCCTCCTTGCACATCCAAAATCTGCCAATTTGATGTCCCCAGAAGACCCCAGAAGCACGTTTTTGCACTTAAGGTCACAGTGCACAATCCCATTACCATGAAGATACTTGAGGCCTTTAAGGATTTCTTTTGTGTACAAACGAACCACATCTTCTTGTAATGATCCACCAAATTTCTCTGCAATATCAGCCAAGCTACCCCCAGCCATGTACTCCATTAGAACATTGAGATCATCTCCGTGTCTTTCTGACCCCAAGTATTGGACTATATAAGGAGATGGTTCTAGATTCTTGAGAATTTCAACCTCATTCTCTAAAGCTGCTAATTCAGCCCTTGTATGTGCTGATTTAACAACAAAGAGTCCTCCTGTGGATTTGCTCATGGCTAAATGAACAGTCCCGAAAGATCCTGATCCTATCAATTTCCCCTTCACCCATTCCCCACGTTTGGGAGATAAAGATGTGGAAACTCTGGCCATAACGCTCCTTTCTTTCACAAAATAACAAATCGATCTCGAATTGAGAAATCCCCAATTCGAAATATGAAACTTTTAATAATTCACAATTCATGCAGTTTGCCACAAATTCTGCATACAACCTGGAGAGACACAAGTCCAATGAACAATCATACAGAGGCTTTAGAAAAGAATGCTCTAGAGAAGGGGGAACAAATCAACCAAACACTCACACGTACAGACATACATAAACAAGCGATTCATCACTTCTAACATCACGAACATTTCGAAAATTCTGGAAAATACACAAGACAACAAAGCTTCAATCAAATCTATGTAGATTATTGCACAGCGGAGAGAAACCTTGAGAACGTTGCCAAATCCAAAGGGTTGAGCGGTTTCCCACGAATCGGGAAAACCGCCCCCTGTGAGAGAGAAGCCTCTGTCTCTGTTTCTCGAGTGGTTAATCGTTGAAATTCAGAGGGAGAATTTGAAACCATATATAGGAGTCGGACGTAGAGATCTGGTACAAACCGTTAGTTTATTAAATGGTTTGAATTTTCGGGGTAAAAAAACACTTTCGGGCCCTGAACTTTGTCTGAGGTTACACATTTGTCCATTAATTTGTTTTTATCGCACCTTAATTTTTTAAATTTTGTCTCATGTTTCACTCTTGTTATCTAATGTTTTGATTCCAATTTAATCATAAAATTTAAATTTAAATTTAAATTTAATTGACTCAAAATGTATAATAAAATAGTTGTATGGAGTTATCAATAAAATAAAATAAAATAATATGATTGATTTATTTTATGAAATACTTTGTTTTAATAGTTTTATCTCAGACTATATTTTTTTTTTGGCCAAATTATCTTGGGATATTTGACATACACACCATATCAATGGTTGCTATACAGGACAAGAACAAAATAGAAATGTTACCTAATATAAATTGTATTTAGATTATGAAACGTTTTATTTATCTATACTTATACAGAGATTGTTGTTTACTTTTTGTTCTTATACTCACCAGCTCAGATGCAATTCATCATTTTTAGAGTAGACATGATATTTATCATATATAATATCAATATCAATATTAATATCAATAGGTCTGCCTTAGTTTGGGGACTCACTTCTTCAAATCTTCATGTTTCACTTTTTCATTATCATTTTAATACACCATCTTCTTCTAATTTAGCCACCATATCATTATTATTATTATTTTTTAACTTCCTCATCATTTGTAATATCATATATTATGTATAACTCCACCATTTCATGATGAATACCTTTATTATCCAATTCCATTACAGCACTGCCATTAAAATGAGCCCAATACGTGGTTCAAGAAACTTACACCATATTTCTTTCCACATATCTTATGTTTCTCAAATCATCTAGAAGCTCCAAAATAGTCCACATAACAATATACTGCCTCCGGTCCTAAATATAAATACACTTTGTAGTATAAAATGCACTACACAATAAATTTTATATTTAGGACTGGAAGTCATATAATGCTGGACCCTTACATCTTATAATGAAGTGACAAAACACACTTTTTTTCCAATTACAAATGTTTCTATGCTTACATGAAGTAGATAAAATTAATTGAAAAGCTTTCAAATCCATGTTCATTTCTCCCTCCCAGCAGCATGAAAAATGATAGATTTAGACATTTTACATAAATGTTTTAAAAGCAAGCCATGCCTACACCGTCATTTCAATATCTTCATACAGCTTCAGCAAAATCTCCCATGTTTCAACAAACCAGCACAACATGGAACCAGATTCTCTCCATGATCATTTTAATGCAAATATTTGATCCTGCATCTCATCATCTGATCACCTTGATTTGATAAATGCATCACCTAATCTTCATCATCATCATCACAGCACATCTTGATCCTCGTCATCAATTCCATCCTCTGCCACAAGAAAAGTAAACCAGAGAGACATATCATTACAAGCTCTGCCCAGAAGCTTTTAATCAAAAGCATAAAAATATACAAGATAAATGACACAATGCAAGTATTAATACCATTATATTTGAAACTATACAACCAGTTAAGGATACAGATGAGAGCCTGGTCATTATTTGAAAGAAAAGAACTTCTATACTTTGTGAGAAAATGGGAACTGATGCTAAAAATTGATTCATTAGCTGCTGTAGTGATTGGAATGCTAAGGATATCACAAACCATCCTTGAAAGATGGGGAAACCGAATCTGATTAGTCTTCCAATAATCTAAGACATCTAATTCTTGAAATGAGTGAGGTTCTAGTATTACTTCTTCCAAATAGTAATCTAATTCAGACTTTCCCACTGAAGCAGTATCTCTACTCTCAACATCAATGTAGTCCTGCAACATGTAAAATATTATTCCTCCGGTTTTTAATATAAGACCCATTTAACTAATTTGATTAGATTAAGAAAGTTAGGTAAGTTAGTTAATTATAAGAAATGTGACACGTTTTTCCTAAAACACTATAATCATCTTTCTTAATACCCCATTTTCCTCTTCTACTTAATTATGGTTGAGAGAGTATCCATAGAGGTAATTTAGAGAAAATTGATAAATATGATAAATGGTTCTTATATTTAGAACCAAAACCAACTCAATAATTGGGTCCTATATTAAAGACCGGAGGAGTAATAAGGTAGCACCAAAAGTCTCATTTTTAATTCAAATTCAACAAAAAAATACACTAAAGAAGACACAAATCAAATTTACTCATCAAAGAATATTAAACCTGCATCAAAATCTACAACGAAAACTTCTTCTTTCCTTGCACTAAGAGTAGGTTGATTTGTTACTGTCGGCATGGACTCTGACACATCTTTAATTTACATTCAATATCATGATATGAAGATGATGAACCAATATCTTTATATTGACTATAAACAATATATAACTTATTCTTGATAGTTTCAATCTTCACATTGCAAGTTATGGGCTCAAGTAATGAGTAACAATACTTTATGAGTTCAAACTTCAATCGTGGATCAAAGATAGTCCCGAGTGCAAATATCACATTGTAATCACCCCAATATTTGTCAAACTTCTCTTTCATCCTATGGGCCATATCTCAAATCATAGGATCAACATTCATCTCATTTTCTTTTAACAACAACTCAATTTTTGACATTTTCATGAAATACTTGTTTAAAGTCGGATAAGATGACTGAGACACCAAGTTTGCAATCCCTTCAAATGGCTCCAAGAAAGTGCAAATTCCCTCTGCTCTCTTCCACTCTTCACTGGATGCGCAACACTTGTAATTACTATCATTTAAAGCCAATCTAGCAAAAGCACAACGGTATCTGATCCTACTCTCCAACATTGCATATGTAGAATTCCATTCAGTGGACAGATCTAATTGCAAGTCCATTGAGGTGTCAATGCCCCCAGCATGCTCAATACATTGCCTAAAATTTAATAATTCTCGCCTCTGATGCTTTCACATATCTAATGCTTTCCCTAATCTTTTGCAAAGTAATACTTATTACTTTCAAGGCCTCCTGAACTATAAGATTCAAGATATAAGCTCAACACCCAACATGAAAAAGGTCCCCATTGCATATCAAGCTATTTTGCGAACTGAACCTCTCTTTCAATATATCTTTCATATTGCCATGCATTGTAGCATTGTCCAAAGTGATAGAAAAAAGTTTCTTATCAATCCCCCAATCTATCAAGCATTCATGCACTTCTTTTGCCAATTCAAACTCACAGTATGGAGGCACCATCTCATGGAAAGAAAGTATTTTGCTATTAAGTTTCCAATTTTCATCACAATTCACTACAACAAGAAGAATGAACAGATTGTTATTTTACAATTTGTATTTCACTATCCACATGAGTATTAATAGTGCGAGGAAAGACAAATTTCACACCGCAAGTGAGGAAAACAATATAGCATCACTACAAATTTAGAAACTAAATAGCACAATTTATACAGCAACCCACCTATAATTAATATATGGTTATACGCACAAGAGCATAATTCATGACTTTCAAAAACCCAGCAACAGCATGTCCCACTTTAATATAATGTGGTTATTTTCAGAAGAAACAAAGATTACTGGGTGCTGAAAAGTTAATATATGAGTTCTGACAGAAAAATAGTGAATATACGTAATAAGCAGAGTTTTTAATACCCAAACGAACACAAGCATTTCAACCTTCTAAAGAATTAAACCAATAATTGGAAAGGGCAATATGAGACTGGTCGTGTGTGCTATTATTATCCTGACAGGAAATAAATCACATTCAATCACTAAGAAAGGCATGCGTATATGTCCACCCTTTCCCAACTTTTTTTTTTTTAAAAAAATCATCAGAGCCCGACAAGATCACATTTAACGAATCAGTGTCCCACAATATCACATAAAAATTTTGAGGTAAAAGCAAAAACCATTGATTCAAACCAGAAGCAGTGTTACAGTGGTTCGAAGTCTACATTGCCCAGCGTGCTGCCGAGGGAGAATGAGAGGTCTCTGCACTCTGGCCTGCCGAGGGAAAGTGAAGAGTGACTTTTACTTGGGAGACGGGCTTGGGCAAGGCAAAAGTTTCGAACAAAAAAATACCGCGCTCTTCCAAGAAAGTGATTTTGGCGGGAACGGACGGCCAGAGTTGGATATTGCACCATCTGTATATTCGTTTGTATAAGCAATTTTACACTAACAACTTAGTTAAAATTGATTAAAGACAGAAATTAATTTTTTTTTTTGAAAATATCCTTATTTAAGAGATAGAGTATGAGAAATATAATAAGAAAATTATCATAATAAAAAAAACTATGAAAGAGAGAAAATATGTGATAGAGAGATGATAGTTTGAAAACTGGAATAATAAATATACTAAGTATTAAAATAAGTAATTCATGAGGGCAAAATAAAAAATTTGTTACAAAAATTTAGGACAATTTGCAAATGTTACTTATATCAAGAGACGAGTTTATTAGAAAAAAATATATTTAATGACAAGAAGGAGGTGATAGTTCGGTAGTTGTTATCTATAAAAAAAGATGAGAAGAGTAACTTAGGTGAAATTACTTAGCTATTTCTCCCAAAATTTTCACTCCACAACAACAGCAAGTTTTTTAT